CCCCGCAGTGTTCTAGATTGCTTCTTATAGTACCACTTGAGGATCCATGCAGAACACTCCATCTAGTACAGGAAATGAGCTTTCCTCAGATACAAAATCTCCTACCTTGATCTTGCACTACCTGGAATTTAGACAAGTAAGAAATGAATTTCTTGAGCCGGGTATTGATGGTGCGGCCCACGCCTTTAACCCCAGCCCCGGGGGGGGGGGGGCAGAGGCAGGCGGATCAATGTGAGTTCAAGACCAGCCTGGTTTACAAGAGTTAGATCCAGGACAGCCTTCAAAGCCATGGAGAAACCCTGTCTCAAATCCCTCCCCCCAAAGAAACACACAGAGAAAAAGGTCCAAGAGAAATGCATTTCTTTTTCTTTTCTTTTCTTTCTTTCTTTCTTTTTTTAAATTTACAAGCCACCTTTATGGAATCTTGTTATAGTAAGTGCTACATAGTTCAGTGGCAGAGAACAGGCTAAAAATAGGCTAACATGCTTACAGTCTTTAAGTTCAGTCCCCAGCTCCATACACAAAAGGGACACATTTACAGTATCTTTCCATAGAATGTCCCTAGTGACTTAGGATTTCTAGTTAGGCTCATTTCCTATTTTTTTAATCACTTCCCAGTGATGCCACTGTACATACTAAACCCACGAAGGAATGAACCCACAATTTAGGCCAGAGCCATCAAGTTCAAATGAACTCCTTCCCTCCCTTCCTCCCACCTCCCTCCCATCTCCCTTCCTTTCCTCCCTTCTTCCTTCCTTTCTTTCTTCTTTCCATTCTTTTTCTTCTTTTCTTTCTGCCTTTTTTTCAAGACAGGGTCTCCATATAGCTAGGTCCAAAATTGAGATCTTTCTCTTTTTTGTTAATTACTCGTGTTTTATTTAATATTACTGTGGTTTCCTTCATAATTTTATTCCCTCAAATTGGAAACACACTGAACATATTATTTGTTATCTTCTTTCTTCATTTAACAATATGCCTTGAACATCTTTCCAGTCATTAAATACTTTTAGGGAGCACAGCCATTATTGATGTCTCTATGGTATTCAGTTGAATGTCTGAAGTGTAATTAGCTTAGCCCAATATCTATTGTTAAACATTTCAGATGTTTCTAATATTTCACTATAATAAACAATGCTGAGATGAACACCCTGTACATGCATTCCAAAATTGAGACCTTTCATTTCCCACCTTCTGAGTGTTGGCTCCCACATATGTTACCATATCTGGCTTCCAATCATTTTTCTTTTTTATTAATTAAAAGTTTCCATTTATTTATGTCCTGACCACAGTTCCAATCAATTTTCTATGACTGTATCTATCAGTTGAGGACCAAATCTTCAACATATGAGCCTTTTGGATTGGCATTTCATATCCAACTATAACAGGTTTTATAATCTTTTATGGGAGCAAACAGCTTTATTTTCCCTACTCTCTAACTGATGCTTATTATTTTCTTCTATAACTAATATGAACAATGGATGACAATAAACATGTTTTAATTAATCAAATTGCAGAAGTTACAGAGTAGTGGTTCTTTTTTTTGGTTCTCAAGACAGGGTTTCTCTGTGTAACTGGCTGTCCTGGAACTTGCTCTGTAGACCAGGCTGGTGGAATTAAAGGTGTGCACCACCAGAGCAGTGGTTTTTAACTTATGGGTCACAACCCTTTTGAGCATTGAACAACCCTTTGACAGGGGTTTCATATCAGATATCCTGCATATCAGATGTTTATATTGGGATTCAGAATAGTAGCAAAATGACAGTTATGAAGTAGCAACAAAAATAACTTTATGGTTGGGGTGTCACTACAACATGAGGAACTGTATTAAAGGGTCCCAGCATTAGGGAGGTTGAGAACCACTTACCTAGGGTGACTGTAAGAGGTTCTAAATACCCTCTATGTTAATCAGGAACTTTTTTCTTTGTTGTTGCTGGGGATAGAATCTAGGGCCTCATGCATGCCAGACAAGTATTCTCCTACTGAGCTACATGACTCTTACCACTGTTTTCAAATTACAGTAGTTATGAGAGTCCCCAGTAGATATTGCTACTTATAGTGTTAATGAGGAAACACATGTTACTATATCACCTGTAAAATAGTTTCATAGTTCTATAGAAATACTGTTTGTCTTTGTAGTCCATTATGCTTTCTTTTGTGCGTTTAAAATATTTTGTGAAGATGGATTAAAAATAGTTGCAGCATAAGAATGAAAGTCTGAGCTGGGTGGTGGTGGCACACGCCTTTAATCCCAGCACTTGGGAGGCGAGAGGCAGGTGGATCTCTGAGTTCGAGGCTAGCTTGGTCTACAAAGTGAGTTCCCAGACAGCCAGGGCTGTTACACAGAGAAACCCTGTCTCAAAATATCAAAACTAAAACCAAAAAAAAAAAAAAAGAAAGAAAGAAAAAGAAAAAAGAAAGCGGGTCTGAGTTCAAATGCCTAGTGCTCATATAAAAGCTGAATGTGGGCATGCATATGCTTGCTACTGGGGAACAGAGACAGGAGGATCACAGGGATTTGCTGTCCACCAGCCTAGCTCCAGTTCCAGTGAGAGACCCTGTCTCAAAAGAATAAAGTGGAGGATGATAGAGCAGGACAGCTGTGTTAATTATATGATAAATCACCGTGACCAAGACCAAAGGCAATGTAAGGAAGAGACAGCTTATTTTGATTTGTGGTCCTAAGGGGAGAGTCCACAATGGAAGATGAGGTGTGGTGGAAGGAGCAGGAAGCTGAGGATTGCATGTTCACCCACTTGCAGAGAGTGACTTGGATGTAGTGTGAAAGCATAGCCCCTCAGAGCCCATCAGCAATGCTGTATTTCCTCCAGCAAGGCTTCACCTCCTAAAGGTTTACAATTTACTCATATGGCATCACCAACCAAGGACCAAGAGTTCAAATACCCGAGCCAAGTGGGGGATATTTCTTACTTTTATTTTTAAACTCCTATCTATCTATCTATCTATCTATCTATCTATCTATCTATCTATCTATCTATTTTTGAGACAGCATCTCTATATGTAGTCCTGGCTGCCCTGAACTCATTACATACACTAGGCTGGCCTCAAACTTGTAGAGATCCTCCTACCTCTGCCCTCCAAATGCTGGGATCAAAATGTTCACAACCATGCCCAGGCTAATATTTCTTGTTCAAACCTCCATAACACCCAGTGTCCTCTGGCATTTGCAAGCTCTAGGGCACTCACACCCCCAAACACATATGTGCACACACCACACAGCCATATATTACAGACACGCAAACATTTATTTTTTCTATTTTGTTTGCCCTTTTGACAGAGTCTTCCTATATAGCTCAGGCTAGCTTGGAATTTGAGATCCTACTGCTTCAGAGTCTTGAAAGACTAAGAACAAGAATGCACCACTGTGGTGGTTTAGAACATTCTGTAGTGGGAGTTCGTTTCTGCCAATAGTTTCAGAGTCTTAGGTTTAGAACCCTCTTG